GGTCAGAGGGAGAAGCAGACTCCCTGCCGAGCAGGGAGCCCGATGCGGGACTCGATCCCGGGACTCCAGGATCATGACCCGAGCCGAAGGCAGTCGCTTAACCAACTCAGCCACCCAGGCACCCTGATATTTATTTAATATCTGACTACCTTTGTAAAGTATTTTACTCTTTTAAATATTTCTTTTATTAATACTCTTGTGTTTTTCAAGTAGACAATCACAATATGCCAATAATACTCCAGTGGCCTACTCTCCAATATTTGCATTACTTATTTGTTTTTGATATATTTTTGTAGTAGTTGGAACTACAGAACAAGGTCAAGAATGCCAGTAATTGAATGCTGTTTTTTCCCCTAAATTTATTGCTAATACTTATTATTTATTCAATAACTGTTTAACCACTCTGGAATGGATAAAAGTGGACCCAGTCCTCATCAAATTTTGATTCTGGTTGGAAAGAAAGACATTTGACAACCATTGAGACTGCTATTTATTTTCAATTTTTGTAAGTAGAACAATCCATGAGAATGCATACAGCAGAATCTGACCCAGCTGAACTTGGGAAGAGCCGGGGGTTTGGAGAGAGGGAGTGGCAAAGAAATTTTCACCCCAAAAGAATAGCCTTAGTGCAGATCCTGAAGCTGGAGAGCCTGTGACACATTTGGGGTGCCTGGGTGGCTCAGTCAGTGGTTAAACATCTGCATTCAGCTGAGGTCATGATCCCAGGGTCCTGGGATCGAGCCCCACATTGAGCCCTGCATCAGGCTCCCTGCTCAGTGGGGGAGCCTGCTTCTCCCTCTCCCTCTGCTGTTGCCCCTGCTTGTGCTCTCTATCTCTCTTTCAAATAAATAAATAAATAAATAAATAAATAAATAAATAAATAAATAAATAAATATCTTTTTTTAAAAAGTGGCTCATGTTTGGCAAGTAATGAACAGAATGGCATGACAACTTGGAGGGGTGGACTGGGGTCATGTAATGTATGACCTTATAGGCCATTTTTAAATTAAATACTCCTCTGGCTGCAGCATGTATCCTAGATTGAAGCTGGGATGCATATTTGCAAATCAGTGAGGAGGTTATTGCCAAGGAATGATTCTTGGCTTAGACGGTGGAGATGGAGATGGAGATGGAGATTGAAATGTGGATACATTTGGTGGTGCCTGGGTGGCTCAGTTGATTGGGTGTCCCACTCTTGGTTTCTACTCAGGTCATGATCTCATGGGTCGTGATCTCATGGATCTCATGATCTCTGGGCATCGGGGTTCTGTGCTCAGCGGGGAGTCTGCCTGAGGATTCTCTCCTTCTGCCCTTCCTTACTCTCTCTCTCTCTCAGAAATGAATAAATAAATCTTTTTTAAGAAAGAAATGTGAATACCTTTGGAAGATATTTAGGAGGTTAAGTTGTTAGGATTTGAGAATTTATTGAAGAGAGGTACAAAGGAGAGAGTGATAGGAAGGTTTTGTCTCAGAAGTGCGGCTTGTGGAGGTGAATTTATTGTGGTGCATTTTATCAAGATAGACAACATAAGACAACCAAGTTTGGGGGTAAAATAATTCCATTTTGATGAATTTGAATTTGAGTGCCCAAAATACATTCAAATTAACTTTCTAATAGAAATTGTCTACATAGGTCTTTATTGTAAAAAGGTGTGGACTGCATATAAATTTAGTCAAAAAGCTGTGAATATGAATGAAATTGCATAGGCAGAAACTATGGATGAAGAGAACAAATGGCCTGAACTTTGAATCCTGCTGAATAATGGACTCCAATATTCAATATTTGAAAACTCCAGAGAAGCAAATGAGTCACCAAAGAAAGGAAAATTAGGAGGAACAGTCTGAAAGTATGGTATCAGAGTAGCGTAGAGAGTATTTTATAGGTACATTCAAATTTCTGCCCCTACCCCTTACTCCACTGGATTTTTTGAAGCAAATCTCAGACATTGTTATCTTTTTGTGTACAAGGTTCAATGTGTATCTTTAAAAGACAAAGACTCTTTTTTAAACATAGCCAAAATACCTTTGTCACACCCCCAAAATTATTAACAACCATTCTTTAATGTCACCAAATATCCAATATATGTTCACACTTCCCCAATTATCTCAGAATTTTTTTTAACAGTTTGTTTGAATCATGATAAAAACAAGAGCCACACTTGCATTTGGTTGATATGTCTCTTTAGCCTCTTTCAATCAGTCCCCTTTCTCTTCCTTCTTTTCCCTCTCCTCCTGCTCGTCCTTCAACATATTTATAAAACTGATTGCTTGTCTTGTAGACTTTCCCAAATTCTAGATTTTGTTGATTGTCACTGTTCTTTAATAGAACTCATTGCTACTAGGTTTGCCATTGTTTCTAGACCTTTTCAGGAGACAAAGATGGAAAATACTATTAAAAAACATATGTATACACATGCATATATGAGTTCATACTATTTTTTTATTTCAAATTTATAAATTTTATTTTAAACCTTTTTTTTTTAAAGTAAGCTCTACATCTAACATGGGGCTTGAGCTCACAACCCTAAGATCAAGAGTGTCATGCTCTACCAACTGAGCAAACCAGGCACCCCTATCTTAAACCTTTTTGATTTTATATCTCTTTTCTTAGTTTTTAATGGCATTAACATAATTACGTATTTGCTTTTTAAATCAAATATGAATTTAGGTAAAAACTCATCTTTTTTCATGTAGACTTCTATGAGTTTTGACAAATGCTTATAGTTGTAACCATTACCTCAATCAAGATAGAGAATATTTTCATCACCCCCCCAAAATTCTGTGTACCTTTATAATAATTACATATTTGATTTGATTTCAGAATAATAGTACTGATATTATTATGCTATTATAATTATTGAAAATAGCTTAAGAATTTTTTGCAGTTCGTTTGTAAGATATATTCCACACAGATATACAGTCCAAATGAATGTGCCCTAGAGTTCACTGAAATAATTCCTCTTTGTGTTACAAAGCCATCAACTTTACTGATGTATAGGTGTATTTGTTTCATTTTGCTTTTCTTTTTTTAAAATTTTTTATTGTTATGTTAATCACCATACATTACATCATTAGTTTTTGAGGTAGTGTTCCATGATTCATTGTTTGTGTATAACACCCAGTGCTCCATGCAGAGCATGCCCTCTTTAATACCCATCACCAGGCTAACCCATCCTCCCCTACCCCCCTCCCCTCCAGAACCCTCAGTTTGTTTTTCAGAGTCCATCGTCTCTCATGGTTCGTCTCCCCTTCCGATTCCCCCCTTTCATTCTACCCCTCCTGCTAGCTGCTGCTGCTTCTTCTTCTTTTTTTTTTTTTTTAACATATATTGTATTATTTGTTTCAGAGGTACAGATCTGTGATTCAACAGTTTTGCACAATTCACAGTGCTCACCATAGCACATACCCTCCCCAATGTCATTTTGCTTTTCTTTTTTAGGGAGAGTTTTAGGGAGAGAATTTATTTTTATTGCTAAAATCATGTGAAATATTTACTTGATTCTGAATTCCAGTCTACAGTATAAGCTATATTCAGAGAAGTCTAGAGCTCAGAGGAAGTGTCCCATGGAGCTAGGAATCAGCCCTCTGAGGGGGATGTTCCTGCCTGGCTGCTCAGATACTGGTACCCCTGAGGTGCACTGATTATTGAAAAAAAGATGCAGAGTGAAACCGACTGCCACCTAAACGAATTGATGCTGCCGGGGCAAAGCACCACTGCTGGGATGATGCTAAGGGAATGGAGCAAGTCACTTCTCCTTCTTGTCTCACTCTCCTTCTAGTCCCCACTGTGGATGGAACCTAACAGGAAGCCAGTTGAATAAAGGAGAAATAGTCTGCAGAGTCTCAGTATCATGGAATTGAGTATAAAGTGGTGAGTATGTGGACATGAGAGACAGTAAGTAGCAATGTGTGCTTATGTTTCCCTAGTGTCATTGAGAATCAAAATCACTTAGTACAAGATCTGTACATTTCAAATTTTATTAGACTTTTCTAAAAACCACACTTAACAATTTTGATACGAAAAAGGGGGGGATTTAGAGAATATTGCCTAGAGCACTACTTCTCAAATTTTAACAACACCGAGGAATCTTGTTAAAAATGCAGAATCTGGGGTGCCTGGGTGGCTCAGTTGGTTAAGCTTCTGACTCTTGATCTCACCTCAGGTCTTGATCTCCCCTCCCCCGTGGGCTCCACGCTGGGCATGGAGCCTAATTTTTAAAACATGCAGAATCTGATTCAATAGTCCTAAGGGGGTCCCGACAGTCTGCATTTTTTTTTTTTTTTTAAGATTTATTTATCTATTTGAGAGAGAGACACAAGCAGGAGGGGTTGAAGAAGAGAGTGAGAGAATATGAAGTCCACTCGAGCTGAGCACAGAGCCAGAGGCGGGGCTCAATTCCATGACGCCCAGATCAGGACCTGAGCTGAAATCAAGAGTTGGTGGCTTAACCAACTGCGCCACCCAGGGGCCCCTCTGCACTTCTAATAAACGCCCAGGTAATGTGAATGATTGCATTTTAGGTCAACCATTTCCCTGTTTTCACAGCCACTACCATGTCATTCTTCCGCTACCTTTATGTGAAAATGCCCTTATTACGGATCATCCCAATTGCCTGCCCGCTAAGAGGGGAACAAATCCCGCTCCCAGAAAGCGGGAAAAAAGACAAGATTTGAAGCCTCGGGGCTCATGCTTGGCCTCTTATGAGACATGGATGATGTCACTCAGACAGGCGTGGCTCTAGTTGTGACGTTTCCGGCGGCGGATGGTGAAGGACGCGGCGGGAGGCGGGAGCGGAAGTGGGGGGGCAGGAGGGCGGGGTGGGTGGCGGAAGGGGAGGGCCGGGAAAGTCGCTCTAGTCGGCGTTTTTCCGGCGTGAGGGGCCGGAAGTTGTGGCCTGGCCGTGTCAACTAGGGGGCTGCGGGCTGAGAGTGCAGCTGAGACCGCGACCATGGGCGGGAAGAACAAGCAGCGGACCAAGGGGAACCTGAGGGTGAGTGTGGAGGGACTCGGCCGGCCGGGGAGTCCTCATCTCGCAGCAGCTGGTTCTACCACGCGCGCGTCCGGAGGGCGTGTGGAGCGCGGCTGTAGGGAGGCGTGTGTTTGCGTGTGGAGTGTGACCTCTCTGATGTGTGTGCGTCCCCCCGAACGGGGTGGGTTGTCTCTGAGCAGATTGGGGATTTGTGAGAGAAAAGATGTTCCATGCCAGAGCTGTCTCCGCCCGAGCACACATCCTACAATTTCCATTAAGGAATGGTTCAGTATCCGTTTCAACTGGAAGGTTACCTGGCCGGGCTCGCGGGGGTGGGGGTGGGTGGCACTAGGAACAAGGGAATTGGGTAGAAAGCATTTAAAGTGAGCCTGGTGTGCAGGGCATCTCGGATCATGTCGCTCTTTTGCTCAAAAACCTGCTGGGGCTCCCCAGATTCCTCGGGGTAAAGGCCAAATCCCTTACGATGGTGTACATGGTATGTGGTCAGCCTCTGGCCCCTTTCTTTCTCTGGCACCATCTTCAGCTTCCTCCTTTTTCGCTCCATCCAGCCACACTGTCCTCCTCACCGAGCCTTGACCTTGGCTGGCAGGCTCCCTAAGGCTCTTTTTTTAGGCGGCTACAAATTTGCTTGAGACACCCCAGTGAGGTCTGTCATGATCGCCCTATTTTAAATTGTAGCCTCCCACTCCCTGTGCTCCTTTCCTGCTTTATTTTACTCCTCTGCACTTAGGACTTCTCACATACTATATAATTTACTTTCTTCATTTACTGCCTTACTTCATTGGGATGTATTATGAAGGCAGGTGTTTTTATGAAGGCTGTTGTCCTAGGAGCCTAGAACGAGGACTAGCATATAGTAGAAGCTCACTAAATATTTTTTTAAAAGATTTTATTTATTTATTTGCGAGAGAGAGAGAGAGAGGGAGAGGCCACAAGCAGGGGGAGCAGCAGAGGGAGCAGCAGAGGGAGAGGGAGAGGCAGGCTCCCCACTGAGCAGGGAGCCCACCACTGGGGGCTCCATCTGGGACCCTGGGATCATGACCTGAGCGGGAGGCAGATGCTTAATGACTAAGCCACCCAGGTGCCCCTAAATACTTGTTTAAAGAAGTGGATTAAACTTATTAGGGATGTTATAATATTATATTTTTATGGTATTAGGCTTGTTATGGCACAGTCCAATATTATGAGAGTGTATTTTTCCTGCTTCTGATCAAATTCTAGTGATATCCGTACATTTTCTTAGATCTGTCACTTGATCTGTTTTTGGCAGATAGTACCAACTGTAATAATAGTAACTTGCCTTGTGTTGGTACTGTTAAGCACTTTACTTGCATTCTCATTTAATTTTAATTTTTTATTTGGACAGTTTTTTTATTTTTTAAAATATTCCAAACAGGATAAGTTGCAAAAATATTAGACTGACAAGCCATATGTTTTTTACCTAGATTCATCAGTTGTTAATATTTGGTCACATTTGTTTTCTTTCTCTGAATATATGTATTTTGCTGAACCATATGAGAACTAGTTGCACATATCATGACACTTAACTACTAAGTACTTCAGCATGTATATTCGAAACAAATGCCATTCTTCTTCATAACCATGAACAATTACAATGTGCAGAAAATTTAACGTCGCTATACTACTACTATCTAATAATAGATAACACTGTATTCAGATTTCTGTTTAGATCTCAATAATGTTCTCTATAACTTGTTTTTAGATACAGCATTTTTAAAAACATCTAAGATACAATCAAGGAGTGATTCCATTCATTTAACTTTTTAGCTCTATGTAGTTTTCCTTTGGAGTTTTTTTCTTTTCTTTTTCTTTTGAGGGCAGTTCTTTTACAACAGGGACAATTTAGAAAAGTCTAGGGCAGTTGTTTTGCTTAATTTAGAATTGTCTGTTCCTTATGGTGAGATTCAGGTTAAACAGTTTTTAAATCTTTTTTTTTTTAAGATTTTTTTTTTATTTATTCATGAGAGAGAGAGAGAGAGAGGCAGAGGGAGAAGCAGGCTCCCAAGGAGCAGGGAGCCCGATGCGGGACTCGATCCCAGGACCCTGGGATCATGACCTGAGCCGAAGGCAGACGCTTAACCATCTGAGCCACCCAGGCGCCCCAGGTTAAACAGTTTTTGATAGGAATGTTTCGTAGATGATGTACCATCATCAGTACATCAGGGTGTACGTGTTTGTCCCATTATTGGTGTTATTTAATCACTTGGTTAAGGTGATGTCCATTGTAAAGATATCTTTCTGTTGGCTATTAACAAATAATATGGGGAGTGGTATTTTGAGACTGGGAATAATCTGTTTTCTCACAAACTTTCACCTAATGGTTTTAGCATCCTTTGATGATCTTGCTGGAATCAATTTAAATGGTTTAAAATTTACATTTAATTTTGACAACCCAAGTAATGGCTTAGTAACTTACTATTTTCTCATTTTAAAGATGATGGTACTGAGGCTTAGAGAAAGGGGAAGTTGCATAGTTGAGATTTGAACTTAAGAAAGGCATTCTAGGGGCGCCTGGGTGGCTCAGTCGGTAAGCATCTGCCTTCGGCTCAGGTCATGATCTCAGGGTCCTGGGATCGAGTCCCACATTGGGCTCCCTGCTCAGCGGGAAGCCTGCTTCTCCCTCTCCCACTTGCCCTGCTTGTGTTCCTGCTCTCGCTATCTCTGTCTCTGTCAAATAAATAAATAAAATCTTAAAAAAAAAAACCCTATTAAAAAAAAAAAAGAATGGCATTCTTTCGTCCAACAGAAGACTTTGAGTACTGAATGCCATGTACTCAAAGATCATAGACAGATGTTTCTTGTTCTTGAACTATTAATTTAATGATAAACATATAAGTAAGCAAATGATTATAATATATTAAAGAATTATGATATGGGTATGAGTAGAAAGAAAATGGGAGAACAGAAAAAGAATGATAATTGACCTGAGGGAGGCAAGCATTGAAAACAAGAGTGTGTTTTAAAGGATGAGTAGGAGTTTGTCAGGCAATGGAAAGGAAGAAAAGGTTTTCAGGTGGAGAGAAAAGATTACACAAAGATCAGATTGTGAAAGGCATAGCATATTCAGAAAACTGTGAATTCACTTTGGGACTGGAACATAAGTGGTGGTAGCAAAATTGGGAGAGGAGAGGAGGAACTGTGACAAGGGAAGAAAAGAGTGTAAGGAGATAAGCCTGGGAAAAACTAAGACCAGATGGGGAAAGACCTTGTAAGTCTTCCTGAGTTTGGCCTTTTAAACTGTAGACTCAGGATTGCCACCTCTACTACTTCTAGAAGACAGGCACAAAAGAATGAAGTAGGTGTAGTGTAAGAAAATAAACTTTCAGAAATAGAATCAAGGTTCTTATTTTTGAACTCTGGGTATAAGCATTTAACATGCAGTAGAGGAAGTAACAAGAAAAAGTAACTATATTTTAAACTTAAGGTAGACATTGAATAAAAGATACAATTAGTATATTTTTGAAGTAATTTGTTACTTTAAAACTGGAAGTTGGAAATCTGGTACCTTTTATTCTGTATGTAGTTATCACTATCAGCTTGGATATTTCAGGTCAGTTCAGAATTCAGCCTTGAATGCTTTGGCTTTTTAAGATGTTTTTATTCATTCATTTGACAGAGAGAGAGACCACAAGCAGGTGGAGGACCAGGTAGAGGGAGAAGCAGGCTCCCTGATGAGCAAGGAGCCCGATGCGGGGCTCCATCCAGGCCCCTGGGATCATGACTGAGCCGAAGGCAGTTGCTTAACTGACTGAGCCACCCAGGCACCCCCTTTTATTTTTTTAAATTACACTCCACGCCCAGCATGGAGCACAATGTGGAGCTTGAACTCACGACCCTGAGATCAAGACTTGAGCTGAGATCAAGAGCGGGATGCTTGACCGACTGAGCCATCCAGGCACCCCTTGACTCCTTTAGCTTTTAGCATTAATTTTGATATGATTTCATTATTCTATTTTATAATAAAACTGTTTATAAGTGATGTTATAGATAAAATTCTGATGTCCTAATGTTGTCATAGTTTTCAGAATTGTATTATAATTCACTAATTTCCATTGTAGCTGTTTATCCATGTACCAGTATTGAGAAAGATGAAGTGAATAATGTTAGTTCATTTTAAGAAAGTTCTAAAATAGAGAACCTTTTTTGAAATCAGTCTTAAATGCTACTGTTTTGAGAAACAAAAAGTAATTCAGGTTATCATTATCATTTTCATTTCTGGTCACTCATTTCAGTTTAGAAAGTAGTCCAGATTATTTCTTGACAAATGAGTTTCCCAAACACAATTTTGCCAGGTATGAGCAAATAAAATCATACATTTGGGTAGCCCTTTCAACCATTCTTAGAAAGAAATCAGAAACAGACGAATTTATTTATTTATTTATTTAGGAACAGGTGAATTTAAATGGATTCTAATGTCATCCTGGACATTGAACTGAGGCATTTTCTTTCTTTCTTTCTTTTTTTTTTAAGATTTTACTTAAAATCTTAAACAGAGTGCACGTGAGCAGGGGGAGGGATAGAGGGAGAGGGAGAGAGAATCTCAAGCAGACTCAGCGCTGAGCATGGAGTCCAGCACAGGGCCCAGTTTCACAACGCTGAGATCATGACCTGAGCCGAAACCAACAGTCGGAGGCTTAACGGACTGAGCCACCCAGGCATCCCAGAGGTATTTTTCTATTAGATGACAATGAATGCGTTACGTTCCTTCAACAGCCTAAATATTTTTTTTTTTTGGTCACAACCAGCCCCCTTAACTTTTTGCATTAAGAAGCTACTGTATTGAGTATCCATTTAACAAACTACTGACTATGGTTCAAAGGAGTGTATCTTATATCCTGACCATTGTATCGATTTTATGTCTATAGTAATGTAATTTGTATCTATTATAGCTCAAAGAAGTTAGGGTAACTTTGAGTGTGTAGAAATGAGTGTGTCTGCCCTCAAGGAACTCCTAATCTTAGAAAGAGCTATCGTTAGACTTGTCCCATGGTGGTTGTTGAGTGGATGAATGAAAAGATGTAAGTCATGTGTGAATTAATTTTGTATCATCACATAGCACACATATGTGTGTATATATACTCTTTATACTAATTTGGAAATTAAAATTTTTATAAAATAGTACTTATTCTTACCATATGTGATGCATTCTGAGTTTTAAAGTTTTATTCTATTTTTTGAAATGCTGTCATGACCCATTAAGTTGATCATCATGAGCCACTAATGGATTGTATCCAATTTAACCAACATTGTTCTGATGTTTAGCAGACCAGGAAATAGCACTAGGATCACTATTGATAGGTTCTTGGTGATGGGAACATTACAGTAGAGGAAATCTTAGGCTAGGAAATAAAAAGTTCTCAAATAAGGGTGCCTGGGTGGCTCAGTCGGTTAAGCATCTGCCTTTGGCTGGGGTCATGATCCCGGGGTCCTGGGATTGAGTCCTGTGTCAGGCTCCCTGCTCAGCGGGGAGTCTGCTTCTCCCCCTCCCTCTGCCTCTCCTCCTGCTTGTGCTCTCACTGTCTCACTCTCTGAAATAAATAAAATCGTTAAAAAAAAAAGTTATCAAATAAAAGCCTGTTCCTCTCTGAGAATTGTCAAGGACAAGAACTCAAAGTTAAATTTTGAACACTTCCTGGACTCTGACTTTTTTTCTCTCAACTTTCTTATCAGCCTTCAAACAGTGGCCGAGCTGCAGAACTGCTTGCCAAAGAACAGGGAACGGTGCCTGGATTTATTGGTTTTGGAACATCTCAGAGTGACCTAGGCTATGTTCCTGCTATTCAAGGAGCTGAAGAGATTGACAGTCTTGTAGATTCTGATTTCCGAATGGTGCTGCGGAAACTTTCTAAGAAAGATGTCACGACAAAATTAAAAGCAAGTTTTATGTTTTTCATAAAAATGATCAAGAAAATCCTTTTGTTAGAATAAAATGTCATTGGTATATTTTATGTAAAGAAAAATGAGCAATCATTTATCACTAATAAGTTCTTTTACAATTGTACTTTTTTCTGACACATAAACTTAAGCTTGGTTTTTACCTTTTATTTTCTGGGCTATAAATTAGTTTGTTGTTCTACACTTATTTGAACCACTTTGGAATTCTGGGTGTATGGTTTTTCCCATTAGAGAATGTAATTTTGACCCTATAGCATTAAATGGAGTTTTTGTTTGTATATATTTTATTAAAAAAAAATGAAAAGTTTCTATTATAGTATGTTGTGAAGGAACTCTTCAAATTAGTCCCATACGGCATAAACAGAAGCAGTGTATTCTCCCGTTATATAAAATAGACCAAGCTTCTATAACAGAATAAATATAATCAATAGACAATATTGTGGCTGTTGATCCTTAGTAATGTTGCTAATTTATTTTTAGGCTATGCAGGAATTTGGAACCATGTGTACAGAGAGAGACACAGAAATTGTAAAAGGAGTCCTTCCATACTGGCCAAGAATTTTCTGCAAAATTTCACTTGTAAGTATTAAAAAACTTACACTAGTTTTTTGTTGTTGTTATACAGTTTTTGATTGAAGTCATGGGGACTGTTACATTTATATGATTCATTTTTGGTAAGGATTATAAAATGTTATGTCAGTATTATGCAGATTGGATCATGTTAGTTGTATAAAGTGTATTGGGAGTCTGTTTTCAGAAATTAGGTAATTACTAGAGAATTACTAGATACTTTCTAGTCATAGTAGAATTTGACAGTTTAGTTTCTTTGCATGTTTGCTGCAAAAGAGTGAGTGTGAATTTGAGTCTATCTTGAATAGTTTTTATCTCATTGCAAGAAGGGGAAAAGGAAAAATTAATCAAATTTCTCACAGTTTTTAAACTTAATAATTTTAGTTTAGCTCTGCCCATAGGTGAATTCTTATCAATGGGTCATCATAGCATATCCAGAAATGTCTGTATTTGTATTTTTATGGGCTAGAGCTATTTTAAACCATGTTATATTTTTATTAGGATCATGATCGCCGCGTTCGAGAAGCCACACAGCAGGCTTTTGAAAAACTTATCCTTAAAGTGAAGAAACACTTGGCTCCTTATTTAAAAAGTTTAATGGGCTATTGGCTAATGGCTCAGTGCGATACTTACACACCAGCTGCATGTGCAGCAAAAGATGCCTTTGAAGCAGCTTTCCCTCCAAGCAAGCAACCTGAAGCCATAGCATTTTGTAAGGATGAAATTACAAGTGTAAGTTCTTTGAACTATTCTCTATTTTTTTCCTCAAGTATTTAAGGGATATAAGGCATGTTATAATGATAGCTCTTTTACCTGGCCTTGTGAAGGAATAAGAAAGTGGTGTTTAACAAAATTGACCATTTTTGATTTTTAACATAAGTAACATTTTGGATTGAATCTTTCTAAGTTACTTAAATTTTTCATCTTTAATTTATAAATATTAGTGATAGTACCTAAAAGATTTGGGTTTATGCTTTATGTTACAAAATCTGAAGAAAGAATACATCTAAAAAATAAATCTAAGTTTATTTTCCCCATATTTCCATATCAGTACATGTATACAGATCTACTTCATTCTTTTTGTTGACTTTCTGATATGGATGTACAACAGTTTATTTAACTCCTTTTATATTAATAAACATTTGGGGTTTTCCCTCAGTTTTTTATTATAACAAATACTGCTTCAGTGAACATTCTTGAATAGATCCCTTCATACCCTGTGGAGTGATAGTAGAATTTATAGTAACCATATGTTGGGTCAAAGGATAAGAACATTTGTAAAATTTTTATAGATGGTGATAAATTGCCCTTCAGAAGTCTATATAAATAGGGTTACCTATCTGATCTTTCCACCTAACACCTCTCCTACACACACACACATGCATTCTAGTTCCCCATTTAAGTTCTTGGTTCTTCTATTCTTTATTTTTCAGGTTTACCAAGTTTGTTTTTCTAGGGATGGGGTTTGTAGCTTTAATCATATTCTCAAAGGGAGTTGTCTAACCCAAGAATCATTGGTTTATTTAAAATATCAAATATTAAGTGTTATGAGAGTGAAGTGTGATGAGTTGGAACACTAGGAGTTTTAGAAAATAGATTTTGAGACAACTAACTTGGCTATTCAGGTTTTCATTTTTTGGTTTTTTGTTCTTGGCTTTGTTATGGATGGGTAACTGATAATTGAATATGTGGATTATTTCCTCCATTATTCTTCCTTTACTTGGTTATGTCACAGTTCTTACAGGTACTGAGTTTGAACTTTCCCAAGTTCAAAAACAATTTTGTAGAGAGGAGTTAGGCAAATGAAGACCAAAATGTCAGATTTATAGTTATTACATTATACTGTCTGTAAGAACATAGGCTCCAGGTCATACACACAGTGGGTTCTAGTCCCACTGTGCCATTAGTTTTGCATGTGACCTTGGGCAAGTTTCTGTGCATCATTTCTTCATCTATTAAAATGTTAATTGTACTTCATTGAGTAGTTGTGAGGATTAATTTAGTTAATGGATGAAATGTATTCAAAGCAATACCTAGCATGTGGAAAAGCTAAGTAAATGTTACCTGTTGCTATTGCCGATAAAAGGGGTCCTAGAACAGTGGGTTCCCTAGTCTGCACCCTGGAAGTAGGCAGACTTACCCACTTTGAATGGAACCTTAGACATTTCTCCATGATGAAGCAGAGCACAATGTGTGGTCTCCTCTATGAGCTGGGAGGCACTCAAAAAGAGGGGAGAGGAAAACAACCTAATTTCTCTTCCAAATTTACTCATCGGGAATTCTACTTCACTGCTGTGTACAAGAGGAATGGAGGAGCAAGAGACCAGGAGTATTTAAGGGAAAATTCCTCTTGACAGGTATTGGAGATGTTCAGAAGAAGTACCCTCTCCTTTTTACCCCAAAAGCAGTCAACCTTGGGGATTGATAGGGAAAGAAAAATAGGTAAAATATAAACCTTTTAGTTTTGCTGCTTAATTTGCTACTTTTTTGGGGAAAGGGTAAAAACTTTTAGGTCCCATAAGGTTTATGTTCTCACTGTTCACCATTGACAGTCCAGTAAAATCTCAAGGTTATGGAATTCCTCCCCCCATAGGTGCTGCAGGATCATCTTATAAAAGAAACACCTGATACACTCAGTGACCCACAGTAAGTGATGCTCTATCTGTGTAACTCATGTTAAGAATTTGTTTCACTCATAGGTAATAAGACGATCACTTCAAGGTCACATTTTTTAAAAAGGGATTGTAAAAGTAGGGATGAAAATACTTAATATAATGCTATATGCCAGGTGCTGTTTTAAGTGTTTTTACTTGCAAGTCGTCCTATTTAATTTGAATTATCTGGGAGTTACGTGTTTTGTTCTTTTACAAAGATATATTTTTATGTTTTTCCCACATTTACCTTTTGATAGTCCTAGCAGGAATCATTTTAAGGTCTGGTTGAAATAGTGAAGAATTATGAATAGTTCTGTTGAAAGAGTAGTAAAATGTCCCATTTACTTTTATGTACAAATAAAACTATGAGAAGTTCATAATGGAAAGTAATCTTAGATGCACTGATACCCATTTCCTAGAATCATCTTGCTGCTGAGAGCAATATATTTGCACAGTTTTTTCAAGTCACAACTTTTCATCTACTTTCACCTTGTATTAGTTGAAAAATATGTGATTAAAATTCTGTGTATGTATTTTAAGGGAGGAGGGTTGGCACAGGGAGGTAGATGTAGAAATAAAGCAACTTCAGTAGATACTTAATGATAAAACATTTAAAATAGAAGTGCCAAATATGTAATTTGGCTTATTTTCAATGCTTATTTATTTTCTTTTCACATCAAGAACGGTTGCAGAGGAAGAAAGAGAAGCTAAATTCTATCGGGTTGTAACTTGTTCCTTATTGGCCTTAAAAAAATTGCTTTGCCTCTTACCTGATAATGAGCTTGATTCTCTGGAAGAGAAATTTAAGTCTCTTTTATCACAGAATAAGTTTTGGAAGTATGGAAAACACAGTATACCTCAGGTATCTTAATCTTTTATTGTAAACTTTCTGTGATTCCTTTTTTCCACTCTGATATTGTTAGTTTTATATTTTTGCTTTATGCTTATTATTTATGTTTAAAACTTTGTGAACACATCTTTGTGGTTGGGCTGAATTCCTCTTTTACTGCAATGTTACTGTATTTTCACTTTTTTATTTAGTTACTTAGACCTCAAATTCAGAGTTATATTATCACACTCCTCTGTTCATGGTGCTTTAAAATTGTTGCTTTGTGTGAGGCTCTTCTAACTTAATGCATTTTTTCTCTTTTGTCTCTGCTTCCTTTTTCATCCTCCACTTCTACCAGCTAACCATTCTAAATGTGCTTAGTGTATGTCGTTTTGTATGTAAAGTTGATGCTTGTTATTCATGGTAATTAGGTTATATGAAGAACCCGCAGACATTGAATTAGTGAATACTGAAGCATTGCTCTTAGGGGAAATACAAGATTAGGTGTCTGCGAGTCTTTGGTCACATTTTTCTCAGTTGGTCAATATATAACCTTGTTTTATGTATGTTTGTTTAAAGGCATCTTAATATATGTTGCTGATTCATTAACATTGAACTCCTGGACAATAGCACTAGAAGTCATGCCTGAATGAAGCTTATCTAATATGCATTTTCTCTGTTAGGCGCATCATTGCCCTTTTGCATGTATTTTTAATTCACATAAATGGTATTATGTTATATTTTGTTCCATTTATTTTTTACTTAGACTTAAGTACTGGGTGGCTCAGTTGGTTAAGCGTCTTAACTCTTGATTTTGGCTCAGGTCATGACCTCGGGGTTGTGAGATTGAGCCTTCATTGGGCTCCACTCTAAGCATGGAGCCTGCTTAAGATTCTCTCTCTCTCTGAAAAGAAAGAAATCAAAAGTACTAAAATACTTTAAATCTGTCATGTTCTTATGTGTATATTTGGTCCGTGCCTTCTAATTGCTGTGTAGTACTCAGAATTGCCTTCCTTCCATTTTTACCGCCACCCGCCCCCTGCCGCATTCTCTCTGTGGTAGACGCCCTGATTGCCTCCAACTCCCTGCCTTCACAAACAGGCAGCAGTGAACCTCTTCATTCATATCCCTTCAAATCTGCAAGGATTTCTTTTTTTTTTTTTTAAGCTTTTATTTATTTATCTGACAGAGAGAGACACAGCGAGAGAGGAAACACAAGCAGGGGGAGTGGGAGAGAGAGAAGCAGGCTTCTCGTGGAGCAGGGAGCCCGACGCGGGGCCCAATCCCAGGATGCTGGGATCATGATCCGAGCTGAAGACAGACGCTCAGTGACTGAGCCACCGAGGTTCCCCTGCAAAGATTTCTTTTTATTTATTTGAGAGAAAGAGAGAGCATGGATGGGGGAAGAGAGGGAGAGGGAGAAACAAATGCTCTGCTGAGTAGGGAGCCTGACATAGGGCTCAATCCCATGACCCCAGGATCATGACCTGAGCCGAAGGCAGAGTTGCCAACTGAGCCACCCAGGTGCCCCAAGTTAGTTTTTTTCATAGAAGTATCCTGAAAGTTGAAAGACTGTCTTATCCTTACTCTGGCACCTTTGTCAAAATTCAGTTGACCATGTATCTTGGATTTTAATTTTAGACTCGTTATTCTTTTCCATTTATTTATATGTTTATCCTTACACCAATACCACACTCCTTGATTATTATTGTTTTGTAATAAATTTGGAAACCCTCTAGCTTTGTTCTTTTTAAAAAATTTTTAGGCTATGTTAGGCCCTTTTCATCCTAAAATAGTATTTTATAGTGTGTTTCATCCTGAACGTGTTTATAATTTTTGGTGCTGTTGTGAAATGGGTTTTGTTTTTTGTTACATTTTTTATTTTGTTTGTACTGATTTAGGTATCCTATACTTTTGTATGTTAATTTTATATTCACCAACTCTCTCAAACTCTTGTTAGTTTTAATAGCCAGTGTTTAGATCTTTTTGAATATTTTTTATAGCCTGTTATTTTGTTATGATTATAGTTACTTATTTGGGTTACTTTCCAATTCTTTTTTTCCTTGTCTCTTAGTATTAATTAGGTCCTCCAGTTGAGTGAAGTGGTGAGAGCTGGCATCCTTTTTTTGTTCCTGACTTTAATGAAATAGTTTTAGACTCTTAATATTTTGAGTATGGGGGTGCCTGGGTGGCTCAGTCATTAAGCGTCTGCCTTTGGCACAGGTGATGATCCCAGGGTCCCGGGATCGAGCCCCACATGGGGCTCCCTGCTCGGTGGAAAGCCTGCTTCTCCCTCTCCCACTCCCTCTGCTTGTGTTCCCTCTCTCGCTGTCTCTCTCTCTGCCAGATAAATAAAATCTTAAAAAAAAAAAAATCCTTATTTAAAAAAAATATTTTGAGTATGATGCTTTCTCTAGATTTTATAAGGTTTAAAGTTTCCTTTTTATTCTTAATTTGCTGAGTAATTGTCATAAATTAATGATAAAATTTTCTTGATTGCTTTTTTCTGATATGTTTAAATGATCATATAATTTTCCAGCCTAGCATTTGAGATAACCTTAGTCATGCTGTGTATTTATCTTTTTAAATACACTGCTAAAATCGATTTGGTAATATTTTATATAAAATATGCAGAAATAAAGTACTTTGTGAAGTTTAATATAT